TATTTTTTTTTTTTTTAGAGAGAGAGTGGGAGAGAAAGAGAGAGAGAGAGAGAGAGAGAGAATTTTTTTTAATATTTATTTTTTAGTTCTCGGTGGACACAACATCTTTGTTGGTATGTGGTGCTGGGGATCGAACCCAGGCCGCACGCATACCAGGTGAGCGCGCTACCGCTTGAGCCACATCCCCAGCCCGTGGATTCTTAATAAGTAATTATTGAATAGAATTACTATAAGAAACAAAGTTGTTAAATATTTCTCTTTTTTACAACTTTTCAAGTTGTTGTTTTTATTAAAAGTTTTTTTTTTTTTTTACATCAAAACAAAGGCCTGCTTACTGTATTAATGTGTGTCAGTACACACTAACAGGAGAATTTGATGGTTACAAATATAATACAAACTAAAATCTTCTTCTTAAATCTTGAATCTTCATAAAAACGAGGACTGAACTCTGCAGGGAGTGCAGCCTTCATTTCTTCTCTCCTCCCTTGCTGTGGTTTGGATCTGGAATGTCCCCAAGGCCCACATGTCAAGGTCTTGGTCCCAAGCTTGGTGCTAGTGGAAGGTGGTGGAAGCCTTAGGAAGTGAGGCCTAGTGGGCAAGGCCTTAGTTCATTTGGGGGCTGCCCTCAAAGTGGATAGTGGGATCTGGGTCTCTTTCTCTCAATTTTACATCAGCCATGAGGTGCCTCGGCCACCTCTGCTACACATCCCTGCCGTGACACACTGCGCCATGACAGATCTAAAGCAATGGGGCCAATGGCCATGGACTGAAACCTGCAAAATTGAGCCAAAATAAGCATTTCTTCTTCATAAATTTATTTACCTCCAGTATTTACCTATAATAACAGAAAGCGATCTATCACATCTCTCCACCCTCCCCACCCCTTTCTCTCCTCTCCTTCCTCCTTTTCCTTCTCTTTCTCCTCCTTCTCCATGGCTCATCAACCAGTTCAACTTACAAGAAGGCAAACTTTCCAGCTTAACATTAAACTGGAAATCAGCCCAAGAGCTTAAAATATGATGGAGTGGTTTTATGACTTCCATATGGATCTAGTAAAATGGAAACATAGAGGAGCAGCTCACTTACAGCAGTTCTACAGACACAGAGCTCATTGCTATGGGCAGTGGAAGCTTCTCACCTTTACTCCAGGCTCTGCAGCCACCAGCCTCAGCAGATTTCATGGATTCCTTCTCACCTTGGTGTTTTCTAAATGGGAAGGTGCAAATTGGAAAAAAAAGGGAGGAGGCCGTAGGGTTTGCTCTAACTATGGGCTGGCTGCTAAATTCAATGTGCTACTTTAGAAATTAAAACTGTCCTGCATAGCTTAAGAGAAAGTGAACTGAA